TGGGGAGCCCGGGCCCCTCCCAGCCCGACCCAAACCTCCGCGCTCGGTGCCCCCACCCCCGGGCGAGGACTAACGGTGGTGACTCCCCCGCCCCCCGCTGCAGCTTCTCCCCGAGACCCCTTCCCTTTGACGCCGGAGTACCCGCGGTGCTGCCTCCAAGACAGTGCGTGCTGCAGCCTCCGAAGGGGTCAGCCTTGGCGTAGTGTCTGAGACGGGATTCTACTTTGGTAACTAAATGTTATTAGCTTTATTCATACAGGGAACCCTTTACCTTTTCACTTACCAGTATTGTGATTTTGGTGGAAAACAATGTATCTTTTAAACCGTAAGAAAAAAAAAAGCGAGAAGCGAAGAGCAGGGAGGTGCATGTGCTTCTGTGCATCGAGGGAACCTCGGTTCGTCACAGAGCTTCTTGATGTGCTTACTTAACAGCCTCCAAAGGAATTCAAAATATGGAAGTCAAATTATGTACCACCTCCCGAGACCTACACTACTGAGAAGAAACCTCCCCCTCCGGAGCTGGATATGGCAATAAAATGGTCGAACATATACGAGGACAATGGAGATGATGCCCCACAGAATGCTAAGAAAGCTAGGCTTTTACCCGAAGGGGAGGAGACATTGGAATCAGGTAAGGCAGTCAGGCTCTGTGGCATAATGGTCTGTGGTTCTTGCGGTGGGTTTAGAAGAATAAAATATTTAGTTGGGCGTGGTGGCCGGGCCTGTAATCCCAGCACTCTGGAGGCTGAGGCACAAGGATCGTTATGTCTGCACCAGCCTGGACTACATAGTGAGTTCAGGGCCAACCTGAACTACATCGGCAGACCCTGTCTGAGAAGATGGGGGGAAAAAAACCCAAGAATGAAATAGTTAAGTGAATGAGGTACAAGTCTAGAAAATTGGTAAAATGACTGTATTAGTCTTTGGATACGTTCTGCTATGTTTTTGAAAAAGATACTCTGCTTGACGAGAAGTCTGAAGTTTCAACCGGTAGTGTTCATTGTATTTTAGTCAAAGATTAGAAGTTATTCAGGCTTTAAAGTGAAATATTAGTTTCTGTAACTTGTGATGCATTAGTATTAAAAAACAAGACTTAATTCATGGATCCTTGTGACTGCAGCTGGGAAGTGCTGAGGGCTTTGTTTATGTTAATGCATTTAAAACAGCAGCTAAATTAGTATGACAGAATGAATTGAACTCAGCATTACTCATAGTTTAGTTTTTTTGCCTTTGTTCATAATACCATATTCTTCTCTTGACTTGGTCTGTCCCCAGTATCAGACTTAACACTCTCAATTCCACCCTTCACGCTGTAGCTTATGTTATTGCTGAAAGTCATATCTGATAACTTGCCTGCTTAGAACCCCTCATCAACAGGACAGAGTGAGCTTTCTGAGGCCTTGCTTCATTCTCCACTATCATTTTGGAGGGCCCCCTCCCTAGCATTTAAGATCTTGAAATTCAAAGCTGAATAGAACAGTCCATTCAGTGTTATGGTTTCCTGCCCTTTGATACACATACTGTAGCCTGGAATGTACTTTGCTCCCTCTTTGGCTGGTAAATTCATTTTTCAAAAATGTTGTCTAATCTCTAATTAATGATTTGCTCCTATCTTGCATGTGTTCATGCTGCTAACTGCTAGCTTGCCACCTCTATGATTTTTTTTTTCATAAGTTGTGGTTTATGAAAATGAGTTCAAGCAACAGGATCCTAGTGTTCTGTATGTTGTATCATAGTTACTAGTACGTTGTAAGTGTTCAGTGGGTTATGTTTGGATTGAACTCAGTGTGTTAGACTTTAGAAAGGGTGTACTTTTTAAATACATTTCTAATCTTCCCACAGCATAAGGGTCACATCTCCTTTCACAGCCATGCAGAGGTTTTAAGAAGAGTAACTAACATTTGTTTTTCCCTCTTCCCTACTGGAAATTGAACCCAGCACCTTTGCACTAGGAATATTCCCAGCATTTTTAAAAATTTTGAAACAGGATCTTGCGAATTGCTAGGTTGCTCAGATTAGGCTCGAACTTGGAGTCCTCATGCCTCAGCCTCCCAAAGTGCTGGGATCACGGACATGTGCTACCACACTCACCTTTCCCTGATATTTTTTAACATGTTTCTTAAATTCGTAAAGTATCATGTATCAGAAACTCTACATTCCTGAGTAACATTTCAAATTACCAAGTTCATCTTTTTATTTGGCCTTTCCGTTTTCTGTTCTCTGGCCCCTCACCAGTTTCTTGTTTCAAAGACTTTAAAAAGAGGAGCTAGGGAAAGGCTAACCTCATTAACAGGTCATACCACTTAGTACTTGTTTAGTGGTTGTGAAATGTAGATAAATAAGGACTTAGCTCTGCATGGTATTTCATTAACATGTAATTAATAGTAAAAATGTAGCTAATGAAGCTAATGGTTTTTATTTTACTTTTTTTGTTTAGGAGGTTTATGTTGATAACCTCTGGTGACTTGAGTTCCATAATAGAAGAATTGTTTTCACACCAGTGCATCTGTACTTTATCCATGAAGTAAAAGAGCTCAGGAAATCTGATGAACATTTTCAGAACTGTTTTTCTTGTGCTGGTTTTTATTGCGATGCCTTGTCATGACACTAGATGGCGTTAACTCACTGCTCAAATCACCAACAGGAAGTTTTGTTTGTTTTTTTTTAGCCTCAGTGGTTCCTGATTTTGTTGTTAGCAGTAGATTTACTTGTAACAAAGGAAAAAATAAAAGCAGAAGTATTGCAAAATCAGCTTTTTGATGTATGTTGTGAGTTTCATAATAGACTTACTGCATTCAAGTTTTATATTGCAATTCTGAAAATCTCAACATAAACAGATAATAACTCCAATTGAAAAACAAAAGTCAGGTTGGGGATTTAGCTCACTGGCACCGCACCTGTCTTATAAGCACAAGGCTGTGAGTTCCATTCCCAGTAATAAACAAACAAACAAAAAAAGTCATGGCTTGTTTGAGCTGTGTACCATACCAGTTAGCTAAAGGAGCCAGTGTTTTTGTGGGTACTGGTGAACTACTGATTAAAACATTGATTTGTAAATTCTTGGAGTAAGTGATTGACTTGTATTGACTTGTATTGCATTTCACTGTACTGCCTGCAGAAGTCCATGGTACTTAGCCAGGCGTGGTGGTGCACGCCTGTAATCCCAGCACTCGGGAGGCTGAGGCAGGAGGATCGCTGTGAGTTCGAGACCAGCCTGTGCTACATAGTGAGTTCCAGGTCAGTCTCAACTACATAGTGAGACCCTGTCTCAAAATAAACAAAAACAAAAACAAAATCCATGGTACTTTATGAAACATATAAATAGCATCACTATCTTGTATTTGAAAATGATTGAAGATGAATCATTTGCTGTTGATACTATTTAGTGTACACATTTTAACAAAGGAGATATTCTGAATATGGTCAGTGGAAGAGAACTGAAGGCTTAAGATTTTAAAGATATTCCTTCCAGGCATTTGTAATTTGATATTAGCTGTTCCCTCGATTTTTTAATATGAATGCATCATTCGATATGAAAATATTATATATATGACCACAATACCTATTGGACTTTGAGAAGAGAAAGATCAAATAACATGCTCAAAATAAATTTGTGTTTTATAAGTCATAACGTCTATGTGTTATTCTGTTTATGTGGAATTCTTAATGCCACGCATTTACATAAAGAGATGGAAAATAACAGCTGGTCTGTTATTCTGTTCTTTATTGAACCATGTAATTGGAATTTTTAAATAAAATGAAAAGGTCCACTTTTTCAGGTTTGACATTTTTTTCTTTTTTTTTTTGGTGTCAGGGATGGAACTTGGGACCTTGTGCTTGTGAGTCAGGTGGCGGCACTACTGAGCTAAATCCCTGCCCCAACATTTTTATTAATTAGATTTTCTGTGGCTATGGGCACTAAGCATTTTGGAAAGGTATAGAGAATATTTTGATGTATGGTTCTTCTCTAATCTTTCTCTCAAATTTTCCATAGTATGAAGGTAAGAAACGTATTTTTCTGTTGCTGTTAGAATATTTTGACAACTAGGAGGGAAGTAGGGGATAGAACTAATTGCATAGAAAAAATTGAAGATAGAACTTCAGTAAGCCTCTGCTTGAGTGCTTTTTAACCTTATGACATGGATTTGGGAGGGCTGAGAATAAGATTGAAAGAGAGCAGTGGTTTTCGGAGAAGAGAAAGCTTGAAAAGAAAAGGACAGCTGATAGTTGCTTAGATAATGTCATGCTTAGATTGGTATCTTTTTGTAAAAGGGAAAAACCCCATTTTTACAAAGTATAGATTATCTTTAAATATAATGCATTGTGTATGCTGTTGAACTTTGGGGAGGAGCTTTTTCAGAATAAACCTGATGTTCACAGAAATAAAATCACTTATTTTAAGCTAATTAATTTAGCCCCAAAGATCAATTTGTGAATTTTGTATTTCATTTTTTTTTTAAGTGCTGGGCTGGGGATTTAGCTCAGTGGTTCCACCGCCTGCCTCACAAGCGCAGGGTCCCGAGTTTGATCCCTGGTACCCCCCCAAAAAAAGTTATTTTCACATATAGTTTATTGGGTTTTTTTGTTTTGTTTTTGAGACAGGGTTTTCCTTTGTAGTTCAGGCTGACCTTGAACTCACAGCCATCCTCCTGCCTCAGCCTCCCAAGTGTTAGGATTACAAACCTGTGCCACCACACAGCTATTTTTTGTTGTGATTTTTTTTTTTGTTTTGTTTTTGCAACAGAGTTGCTATGTAATTCAGACTAGTCTTGAACCCATTTTGTAGCCCAGGCTGGTCTCAAACTCCTGGTGATCCTGCTGTCTTAGTCTCCGAAGTGCTGGAATTATAGGTGTGCACCACCACACCCAGCTCACAGTTGAATATCAAGAGTTCTAAAAGTTATTATTTTATAATTGGGAAATTTAGAAACAGTTGATGGGGGTGATTATTTTGGAATAAAGCCAATGAAATTTTAATGTTTTCCTTTTTTAAAAAAATTACTGATTGAAACTTCCTCTCCTATTTAAAGATGATGAGAAAGAAGAACATACTTCCAAAAAGCGCAAAGTAGAACCAGGAGAATCAGCAAGAAAGAAAAAGTAGAAAGCAACAAAGAATGAGACTTCTGGACTGTTAAACCTGTTGAAATGTGTCTTTGGTCAGATTAGTTTGATTTTGTGGATTATTATGACAAAACATCTCCATGGAAGTATGTGAGTTAATGAATTAATAAGTATTGCTTCAAGAACTTTCCACTGTAGAATTCATTTTTTTATTTAAAACTTGTATGTATTTAAAACACAAATGACGACCTGTGATTGTGAAAATGACAATACTTGGAAGCATTCTTGCTGTCCGTCACAGAGTTGGTGGTGTACTTTGAGAGTTGTCACATACTGACATGCCAGTGTTCTATGAACCTTTTATAAAGGAATATATTTTTAAAGTTAAATATATTGTAATGTACTGTGAACTTGTGGGGTGCTTTTCATCAGTGTTTGTACAGTGTAAATAAATCATGGACATAAAACTACTTAATTCAATATTGCTCTTACTCCATGACACTGACATTTAAATATCTGTCACAAGTCCCCTCCTTCCCGTGTGGTAGGATTACCATCTAGGGAGTATCTCCTATGTTGCAAGTGCTTTGTGAATATATTGTCTCTGATCCTCAGACAACTTCATAAGCAGGTGTTAGTGTCCTCATTTTGTAATGAGGACAACATCAGTGATGAACACAGAATTTAACTCAGGATCCTGGAACTCCAGAACGCATTAAACCACTGGTCTGCCAATCAAAATCCAGAACTGCACTAACTGCCATTTTCCCATGGACTCGACTGTTATAGTTGAAATTGTTTCTACCACTGATTGACTGACTGTATAAATCTACTAAAAATAAGGGTCTTCTACAAAGGTTTACCAGATCCAGTAAAGAAAAGTAGAGGGCACTGATGAAATTTGAATTTCAAACAGTGTTTCACTATTTGTGATATTTGGGACATAGCTTACATTAAGAATTTACCTGAAATTCACATTTAACTGGGCATCTTGTTTTTTTCTTGTTACTGTTGGGGACCACACCTAGTGGATGCAAAACCTCCATCATGGTAGGCAGACCCTCTACCACCAGCTAGACCCTTGGCCCCAAACATTTTATCTAGCAATACTACTTCTGTGTAGCATATTTTCTTCTCCCAACTCCTACTTTAATGCTTTAAATAATATTCAACTAAATGAGCTAGGAAGATGTAATCTTTCAGTTCTGCAATCTAAAATGGAGTACAGTTATTTATAACCTTTTTTTTTTTTTTTTTTTTTTTTTTTTTTCCCCGGTACTGGGGACCTTCCACTTGGGAGGCAGGCAGCAGAACCACTGAGCTAAATCCCTGGTCCATTTATAGCATTTTTGAAAGATGTAAAGTTATTGCCATATCAATTTTTCTATGAGCCCTATGTGTTGAGGAGACGAGTTAATTCTAAGGGCCGGGGTTTAGCTCTGGTACTGCTGGCTGCCTCACTAGTGCAAGGTCCTCAGTTTGATCCCATTACCGCCAAAAACAAAAAGTTCATTGTACATTTGGTGTGGAAGGAAAATTAAATTTTTTAGTTTAAAAAATAATTGTGCTTGGGCTGGGGATTTAGCTCAGAGGTTCGGTGGCCTGCCTTGCAAGCCCAAGGACCCGAGTTCAATCCCCGGTACCAAAAAAAAAAAAAAAAAATCGTGCTCACTTTGGCAGCACATATACTAAAAGTGGAACGATAACAGAATTTAGCATGGATTATCCCTGCACAAGGATAACACAAATTCGTGAAGTGTTCCATATTTAAAAAAAGAATCTTTGGGTTATTTTCCCCCATACGAGAAGTCAAAATTTGAAAAGTTATATAAAATTTGTTTAGGAAAATCAATCAAGTATATTAAAATTTATAAAAGTCATTAAAAAGTAGTGGTGCCAGCATCCGTGTTGTGCTGATAGAGGGAAGATCGTAATAGTGTGATGGCTTCCTGTATATCTCAAACTTAGAAAAAACTTCCAAACCCACCTAGGTTTGCAAATAAATGAGTCCTGAAATTGAAGTCATTGCTAAGTCAGTTTGACTTAGTTGAAGTTTTTGCGCATGAAGAATTGGGAAGTTGATAGATGCTAGGCAGTGGTGCCAACTGGAATAACCAGGTACAAGGTTATTCCCAAGCTCTGAAGAAACCTGGAGAATGCACGCAGACTGATGCAGCAGAGCTCAGGAGTTTGCTGAAATATCACATTGTTCTAAAAGTTGCATAAAAGCAGCTTCATACCAAAATACCTGAAAAATCTCACTCATCTCTCCTACCCAGTTCTTCAACTCTTCCTTCTGCTCTTCAGATCAGTTAGTTGATGACGGAGAACAAGTGCTCGCTAGTTTATTCCTGGTCACACTGAGCAGCTTGTCTAGAGAGAGAAAAAGGGAAGCAAATGCCGCCCACTTTTTTTTATAGCAGTGGTGCATGTTTGGGGTTTTTTTGGTGGGAGGATGTGTGTGTTCTACCTTTGAGTGGCTAATCCCATGGGACTGGTAAGCCCCTACTGGGAGATACTTTTATACCAGTACAGATTGTGGCTAGTTTTTATTTTATTAGGGAAGTAAAGTCTCAGGAAGAAGGCTATTTTGGAGGCATTTGTATATCACTGGATTTCTTTTCAAAATATGGAAAGGGACATAAACTTGGCTAAGAATACTTAACCATCACGGAAGAATCCCAGGTTGAAAAATGGACTTTCATATCACTCTCATGTCCATCACCACGTCAGAGAATAGATTCATTTTTCCCTTCCGAGTATCCTGAGAACATGTTTGCACAGTGTCCCTGTGAGTACTGACGTTAAGTTTTGCTCAGCTAGAGAAAACTCGGTGGGGAAGTCATAAAAGTCCATGTAGGTGGGGCGCACCTAGAACCCCTGCTACCCCAGAGGCCAAGGCAGGAGGACTTTGAGTTGGAACCAACCTGGTCAACTGGACAGCTACTGTGGAAAGCAGTATGGAGATGCTTCAAATAAATTTAGATCCTAAATCAAAATAAAACAAGTTCTGCAGTAGAGTGCCTACATAGCCTTTACCCAACATATCATATGTGAGGCCCTGTGTTCAGTCATTAACTTTTAAGTATTTAGAAAATAAAGCTACTTGATATTTTTTTAAATTAATTTTATCGGTATATTTAATGTATACAATACAATGACATTCATTGTTGGACATTTGTACCTTTATGTAATCAATCTTGGTTCTTATTTTTCCCCATTTCCCCTCCCTCCCTTCAAACTCTTCTTCCCTCCCTATCTGCAAAGACTTTCCATTATTTTTCATTTTCTCATATTAATTCCATTCCCTTCTTTCTCAACCCCTCCTGTTTCCCTTTCCTCTTTGTCCCTTTTCTTCCTATTTCACATTATCTATTATACCTTTTAGTCCTTATTTACCCTTCCAGTTTCTCACACTAGAGAAACTATTCAGTATTTGCACATGTGTGTCGTATTTATATCACTTAGAGTATCACCTCAGCGTGCATCCATTTAGCTATAAATGTCTAATTTTTCATTTTTTATGGCTGAGTACTATTCCATTTTATTTTTAAAAACACACCTTTTCTTTTTCCAGTCTCCCATTGATGAGCAGTTGGGCTTCCGAGTTTTAGCTATTACAAATTGTGCTGCTATAAACATGGGTGCACATATATCACTGTGGTGTGATTCTTTTAATTCTTTAGGGAAGATACCCAGCAGGGGAATAGCTAGGTCAAAAGGGACTTCCAGTCCTAGTTCTTTGAGGTGTCTCCATACTGCTCTCCACATGGTGGCACCAGGTACACCCCCACCAGCAGGGGACCAGGGCTTCTCTTTCCCCACAGCCACAGCAGCGTTTGTTATTGGTTAGTTTCATGATAGCAGCTGGAATCTCAAGACATGTTTTCATTTGCATTTCTCAAATGGCCAGTGATGTAGAACATTTTTTCATATGTTTATTTGCTATTTCTACTTCTTTGTCTAAGAAATGTCTGTTCATTTCAGATGTCTGTTTTTGGGTTGGGTCTTTAAATTTGAGAGGTCTGATTTTTTTTTTTTTTAAGTTCTTTATATATTCTAGATAGTCTGAGAACAGCTGGTGAAATTTTTTCCCCACATTGTGGTTGTCTCTTCACATTGTTGGTCGTTTCCTTTCGGTGTGCAGAAGCTTTTTAATAAGAAGTCATCCCGCTTGCTGATTGTGCTAGCTCATGGGTAACTGAGGTTTTTGTTCATAAAATCTTTTCCTGAGCCAGGGATTTGGCTCAGTAGTTCCACCACCTGCCTTGCAAGTGCAAGGCCCCAAGTTCAATTCTCAGTACCAAAAATAAAAAATTGTTAAAAACCCATAAAATCTTTTCCTACACCAATGTCTTCAAGAGTTATACCTGACCTCTCTTTCAGCCAGGTTAGTGTTCCTGTTTTAATATTTAGATCTTTAATCCATTTTTATTTTAGTTTAGTGCATGGTGAGAGATATAGGTCTAGTTTTAATTTTGGCAAGTTGAAACCCAGTTTTTCTAGCACCATTTATTAAAGAGGCTGTCCTTCCTCCAGTGAAGGTGTTTGGCTCCTTTGTTGAAGATGAGGTGGCTGAGTGTGTCTGAAGTTGTTTCTGCATGTTCTAATCTGTTCCTCTGTTCCTCAGGTCTGTTTCTTTGCCAGTACCATGCTGTTTTTATCACATTAGCTTTGTAGTATAGTTTCAAGTTGGGGATTGTGATACCCCTAACTTCTCTTTATTAACTAAAATTGCTTTTGCTATTCTTGGACTCTAATTGTTCCAAATGAATTTTTGGATTGTTTCTCAAGGTCTGTAAAGTATGCTGCTGGGATTTCAATTGGGACTGCATTGAATCTGTATAGCAGTTTTGGAAGTATGGGCATTTTCTCTATGTTGATTTCCGCAAAGCCAGGGGCAAGGAATGTCTTTCCATTTTCTGATATCCTCATCAATCTTTTTCAGTGTGTTGTAGTTTTCAGATTAGAGGTTGATATTTCTGATGGTTGTTTATTTTTAAGGAAGTTAAGCTAAATCAGGCTTTAATTACTTTCTTTTGTACATGATAACTTGAACAAATAATCATATGTAGGCCATATTTTTTATTCAAACTACAAATTTGTAGGGTTTTAGGGTAATGTTCTAACCAGAATCAAAAGTTGAAAAATTAAACCTGATTTTTTAGCCACTAAACACTGAGATTTGGCTTTCTTTGCAAACTCACAACTAATCTTAATTCTCAGTATCGTGTAGTACCAAGATCTGTCATGTAAAGGTACAAGATCCCAATGATGAATGTAACTGTACTGTATACTTAAGAAGTACCAATAAACTCAGTAAGATTAAAAAAAAAGAAGTCTATAAGGATAAATATCATGTAGTGCTTTTGAGTTCAAAAAGTTCAATCACATAGTAGTATTTTACTTTCTAAAAGCTTTACAATGTGAGATTTATCTTTTTTGTTTTTGTTTTATTTGTTTTTTTGAGACAGAGCCTCACTATGTATTTGAGGCTGACCTGGAACTCACTATGTAGCCTCGGCTGGTCTCAAACTCACAGTGATCCTCCTACCTCAGCCTCCTGAGTGCTGGGATGACAGGTGTACGCCACCACACCTGGCTGTGAGATTTATCATTTTTAACTAGAAAATGGAAAACAGACCTATTAAGGTGAAGCTTTGATTGAGTTTTACAGAAGAGAGGCTGTGAGAAGCTGATACAGCTTAGTTGGATATAGTGACTAACATGAATAGACTGATAACAGGTCTGGACATGGTCTACACTGTATGTCACATAATTTAGGTAGATACAAAGCCTAATCAGATATATCTGAAAAACGTAAGCATTTTGACAAATACATGTGATCTGGTACCAGGGATCAAACTTGGGCTCTTGGACTTGCAATGCAGGCAGTGGAACCACTGATTCAAATCCCCAGCAAGTACATATGATCTGAATGGATGCAACAACTCAGTTTGATATGTCAAACACTTGTATTGATTGATTTTTTTTTTTTTTTGAGATAGGGTCTCACCCTGTAGCCCAAGCTGCCCTCAAACTCCAGGTGATCTTCCTGCCTCGGCCTCCAAAGTGCAGGAATTACAGGTGTATGCTACACCCAGCTTTTTTTTTTTTTGGACCGGAAATCAAACTTGGGTCCTTGCACTTGCAAGACAGGCGGCCAAACCACTAAGCTAAATCCCTGGCCCCATACCCAGTTTGTATATTAATTTAAACCCATAACAAGGTTTTAAAATAAATCATAGGTGATATTTTTAAACTTTAGAATTTGTTTTTGAGGGTTTTTTTGAGACAGAGTCTGGCTATGTAGTTCCAGCTGAACTTGAATTCACCATGTAGTCCAGGCTGGCCTCCAATTTTTGGCAGTCCTGCCTCAGCCTCCCATGCTGGGATTACGGGCATGCGCCCCACCACGCCTGTCAGATTTTAGAATTTTGTACCCATACTTTGTTTCCTATTTCACAACTCCATTTGATAATAGTGCAGAAATTCCAGGCATTCCTACAAAAAGATGTTAAAATCCTCAGCAATTGTTTCAGAATTTTGATTAAACTCTGAAGCTTTACCTCTTGATTTCCTTTCTGGTATTTTCTTTATTTGAAACACTGCACTGTAATGGAGAGAGAAAGCCCAAGAAACTCCTTTAAACATGAAGTCCCTGACTCACGAACAAGTTCTGTTCCAGGAGGACTTTGTAAATCAGATTCATTCGTATGTCTTACAAAGGGAGTCTTACACATTTTTGACACAAATACACAATGTAAAACA